GGGGGTGGGGCGCGCGCAGCGCGCCGTGCTAAACGCACTTGCAACTTAAATATTAAAAACCATCGTTAAACATTTTTTGTTAATAACTTTTTAACGAGCAACGAGCGACGGCTAAAACCTTCTGAGGGTCACTCAGGAGGGTGACCTTGACCTTGACCTTGAAGGTCAAGGTCGTAGGAGCTGGGTCCCCTATTCGGCACTTTTACCAAAATACATTCAGTCGGCGTCAAGTATGAGCAAATGAACCGCGCACGTATTGGCACTTAAGGTATGTACATACATACATATGTAGCGTGTTTTCATTTGTCCGGTTCCGTCCACAATCCGTCAAACAAATCAAGGCTTAAGGGCCTGCACGCAATAGAGTAAATATTAGAAATAAGAATTAGTAATCAATATGAGAAGAGTGAAAAAAAGAAACGAAATTAAGTATACTATAATACGAAATGAAAACAATTCAAGATATTATTATAAGAATTGTGTTATGCAGTCAAACCTACAAAATATTTATATTTCAGCTTGTAAATTTAAACAATATGGATTTAATATATTTGCATTTTAAATAATCCAATCTGAAGTATATAATGAAATAATACGAGTATAGACGTTAATGCTCAGAAACGTATGACCCAGATAGCCAGTATACTCAAGCAATGGATCGAAATTAAATAAAATCTACTGATGCTAGTATTTGCAGTTCTTTGCTAGAAATTCAATGTTTCAGTGATTTAAGTACAGTATAATTAACATTTTGTCGTAGATAATTGCACAGCAAAAGCGAGAACACATCGAGCAGACCTACTGTTAACAAACAGCTAAGCATACATTGTTATCAATTTTCTAGCAGATATAAAAATGTTATACCCATTACACCTGGCTAGCACCCAAGGTGCGCCACTGAGAATATAACATGCTTTTAATGCGCGTTTTATTGCCATTTATTCAAAACGACATTGATTGCGTTTACAAGGTGCGAATATCACATTTGGGCATATTTAAGACATATAACTTTATATAATTCTTTATATTTACACATACATGCTTATCCATAAAAACTTCAACATAATAGATCAACGGTACAGTTTGTTTTGGAATGTGCTGCCACAATTTACCTTAAATGCGCATTTCATGCGGGACAAACACATGTACTAATTATAAGTGGGAATGTAAATACACCTTTCAAGCACATTGTACGGGAATTTGCGTTCCATGGGCACTTAGTACCAGAATAATGTTTGAATTATACAAATATTTTATTTCCGATATCAAATGCTAACAAACAACAGCACAATATACATACATACACAGCAAGATGCTAACTAAAATTGATGCTAACAATTTTGTTAGCAATATTTGAAAGCAACATGTGCTCACACTGGTTATATGGCAACGCATCTTAATGTATTTCTTGTATACAGGGTGTACCTAAACTGGCGATAAATATTTTAATGGCAAGTACTTTGTAACATTTTGAGACGGAAATTCTAATACGAAGAAGTCGAGGCTATAATAGTTTTCAAATGGAAACAGTTTAAACATCTCGAATAGCAAAGCTAGAATTTCGCGCGCTCAGGGATGGCAAAATGGCTAGTGATAAAGGTGCTTTCTTGATCCACACGTCTTTGACATTAATGAAATTAGTGTAAAAATGTATGCAAGAGTTTCATTAAGAAACTATTTCTGTTTATTTGCAATGAATTTTAGAAATAGTTTAAAATGTTTTTTTTCAATAGTTCAAATCGATATTGATTTGTGTCAACTGTCATCAGAATATCTATTTGGTTAAA